TCTGGATAAACACTGTAATTATCTGGATACCTAAAAAAAATTTATTCAGTTTATCCAGTTGAATCTGAAAATGGATTAAAATACTAGCTGAAGTCTGCAATATTATTTTTATTAAATTTCAAGTCTTTTTTTTCCAAATATTTGATAAGTCCTTATATATCAAAATCTTTAATAACATCTAATATTGTTTAAGAAGAAATTTCTTCTATTATTGAACTTGAAGAAAAAGGTGTAGAGGCTTATGAAAATATAATATTTATAAATATATATAGGGTTTAAAATTTGTGCGTACCTGCGCATGTGCGCATTCCCATGGATATATTATATATAAAAGTTAAAAATGACATTCTAAACCCTTCATGACTCATTAAGTAAAGTTGTAGAATAGGCAAAAATATGTATAGTAAATAAATTTTTAAGGCTCTATAATATGTACGTGAGAGTTGCAGCATGAATATTTAAAAAAATTGGAATTTTACTAAAATCATGTGATAATTAATGTTTGACAAATTTACTATATAAAAATTACCAAAAATGGAGGGGTGCGCACATGCGCGGGTGCGCACAAATTTTATTTCCATATATATATATGTTTATGCTTATGAAAAAAAATATACATCTAACTGTAATTGCAAGTAAAGCTAGTTATAGCTTTATAAATATAATAAGATATATTTAAAGAAAAATAAAAAGATTTTTTACATTAATTCATAATGCTTTTGCCTAATATATATGCAATTATTAAAATGTAATACAAAATTGTCAGATAATTATATTTAATATCTTTTCCATTTTTCTAATATATTTTAATATAAAGGAAGTTTAAAAGCATTTATATAATTGTACTATCAAATAAGCCAACTAAATAATAATGCATACTGCATGTATTTAGTATTAATAACTTTAAATTTTAATTCATATATTGTATAAAGTGCTGAATTTAGTAAATTAAGTTTAATTTGAATTGTTTTAATTTTAATTTTTTAGTACTACATAAGCTATTTTAAGTATTAAATCTTTAAGATATAAAATTGATTCAGGAAAATCTATAGTAGTTTACAAAAGTAACACACCATGCTTATTATTAATTATTAATTATATGTTTTGATATAAAAAATTAAAATTAATCAAATAAAACTTAAAATGTAAATTATATAAATTTTTAATATAAATTTATTAGTTGATTTTTTTGAGTATAACACATTTTATTAAAAAAATATGATACATTACTTTTGAGCCTTTTTGTATTTTTAATAAATTAACCATTTTATAAAAATTAATAATACATTTTATTATAAATTAAATCAGAGTTGGAATTGAACCTTGTCCAATTCGTGGTAATGGACTATTGGACTTTGGACCTAATAGAGATGTCCAGTTTAATTCCAATTCCAAATGGACTATAACTTATAATTTTATATATTATAATTCTGGCCAAATTTATAGCGTTAGCCTAAATTAAAAATAATTATATGTTATTTTGGCAAACTACAGTTTAAAAAAAAGTACTGCTGCTGTAGCTTATAGTAAATTTAATAAAAAATTCTAGTAAATATTAATATACATACTGTATTATAAATTTTATAATTATTAATTACATATTACTAAGATTATATATAAATCTATAGCCATTGGACGAAGGCTATAGTCTAATAGTCCAAATTTTAATGGAATTGGAATGGACTAAGTTCAGTAGTCCAATAGTCCAATAGTCCAAAAGTCCAAAAGGCCAACACTGAATTAAATAGTAAATAAATATTAAATAATCTAAATTATTATTTAAACTTAAAAAAAATTAACAATTTTAGTAGTTTACTAATTAATTTAATTATTATATTAATATATATATACATTTATAAAATCAATAGTAATATTATTATAAATATTATAAAAAAAAGTTTTTATTTATTTTTCTTTAATGAGAGAATTATTTTAAAAAAAGTTTCACAGTAATTGTATTATACTTGTAGTCAAAACCTTTCAAGAGTATAGCTGAAACTAAAAGTCTGAAATACTAGCCCAAAACTTTGTCTAAAATCCAAAACCTTAACCGAAACTTTATATAGACTAAAACTATTTTTTATTATAGACTTAAGATCTGAAACCTTTTTTATTAATTTTATTATTTATTTATTTAATTTTTATAATTATTATATTATTAATGAGTTAAATTATTGAAAGAAAATAAGAAATATTTGGGATTGCTATAAGAGTAATAAGACCTCGCTTATTTCTAATAAAGGTTTTCAGGAAAAATTTCAAATTTACTAGTAATTTTACCTTACTTCAATTCTTAATATTATTGGTTAATTGATTTAAAAAAAAAAAATTAGTGTAACATTTCCTTTTTTAGATATAATTTATCTATTTATAGTAGGATCATTAAAATTTTTTTTTTAGTGATTTTACCTTAGAGTTACAGTAACCTTTATTATAAGTAAGCAGGTCCTATTGCTATATATATATTTATACATATTTATATGCATAAGTCATAAGAATTAGTATTAATTCTGGTTAGAATTATTGTGTATAACGTATAAATATATATAAAAAAGCTTAAAATTGAAGAAATTTTGAAATAAAAGATTCAGATTTTCAGGCATATAGTTTTAGTATCATCCATGTCTGCTATTTATGGATAAACAAAGTATTTTATTAATTATATTTTATTACACTTGATCTAGATTTTATTATCTATTCATTTGACTTTTAAACTTGAATAATTTCCCATACAATAATTCTCTGGACTTATATTAATTAACTCTTTAGTAACTATAAGTATATTTAAAATAACTTTTAATAATTAATATTTCATTTATTAATTGAGTCAAAAATGACTGACTGTAGAATTCCTATTAAATTCCACTCCTATTTATAATAATTCATGAAAAAGTATTTTTATTTATCTTTCTTTATTTTTTCTTTTCTTCTATTACTATTTCTATCACTATGACTAATTATAACTCATTTCTTGGCATCTTTAAATAATGACTATTTTCATTCACACAATCATTTCATTGATATAATGAATTTATTGATACAATAACTTTATTGATATATAACTTTATTGATACAATAATAAATTATAACTAAACTAATAATAATTAAACTAATAATAACTAATTTAAATGTAAATAATTGTAAATAACTAAACTATAAATAAATATTACTATAGATAATCATTATATAATTATAAATTATTATATCAGTGTTGGCACTTGGCCGTTTGGCCAGTTTGGCCGGCCAAACTGGCCAAAAAAATCTTTGGCCACGGCCAAATGCCAATACAGCCTTAATAAAGTATTAGTATTTTGTTATTTGGCCAAAATTTGGCCGGGGTTGGCCATTGGCCATTTTGCCATTTTGGCTGGCCAAATCGGCCAAAAAAATTCTTGGCCGTGGCCAAATGCCAATACTGATTATATTTTCTAATCATCTCAGTTAAATATTTTTTTTTTAGCTAAACTAATGTTTATCTATGTTCCATTCAGTATATTATTTATTCTTCAAGTAATTATTCTTTTGGCTCTATAAAAAATCTGATTTGTGTTTTATCTTTCCATATTTTTTCTGTAAATGTATCATTTTCATGGAATTAATAGTCTTAAATCATAGAAATTTTCATCTCACTAACACAGATATTTGTAAATGTATTTTTTTATAAAAGACATGAAGAAATAATGGAAATATTCAGATAAAAATTTTTTATAGGGTGGTTATGTGATTATTATAATATCTATAGTTACATCAAATACTTTTAGTTATATATAGTTTCAGTTATATAAGAGATTTCAGATATAGTTTTTGGATTTCAGTTTCAGAAATAAGGTTTATAACTGAAACTGAGACTGGCCAAAAGTCTGAAACTGAAATCTGGTTAAAACTAAAAGGATTTTAGTTACAAATATAGGTTGTACTAATAAATCTGAAATGATTAACTGTTAAAATTGGTAATGATTTTCATTTTTATATATTTTAATAATGTTTTGTGTCTAATTTTACATCCAATGATCACAGGAAAATGAAATACAGTTCATTGGAATTGTTCCATTAAGATGAATCTTAATGATAATAATTTATATTTTTAAGTGTAATAGATAGTTAAATGCAAAAACGTCCTATAGTACAATAAATTCTAAATAAAAAATGATAATTTTTTAACATATTTGTAAATAACTTCGCATCTATTATACTTAAAAATATCATTAGATTTGTCTCAATGAGACGATTCTGCTGAGTTGTGTTTCATCTTTCTAGAATCACTGGATGCAAAGTTAGATATAAAATATTATTAAATAAAGATTATTACCAATTTTTAACAGTTAATCATTTCAGATTTATTAGTACTAGAGCTTAGATTCGCATTCATATAACTCGAGATAACTTGAGTTAAACTCGCACTCAAGTTAGAAATTTTTTGACTCAAATCAACTAGGATTATGTGGTTAATAGTGCTAGCTGAACTCTATTTGTAATTCCTACTGGCACTATAACTATAACGGTCTGGGTAAAATTATGGATAAATTTTTTGACTCACACTTTAACTTTAACTCAAATTAACTTGAGTTAACTTGAGTCTTAACTCAAGTTCTGGACTTGAAGTCAAAAAAATTCTTGACTCGTTTTATTCGAGTTGACTCATCTTAACTCAAGTTCAAGCTTTAATTAGTACAACTACTGCAAAACTTTTTTTAAAATAATTTTCTTATTGGAAAGAAATAAATAAAAACTTTTTTATAATAATATTACTATGATTTTATAGTATACATATATATATATATTTTTTTTAAAATAGTGCAATTTGTAAGTTTATTAGTTATATGTAAGAATACAAAAACATCTATTATATAACTAATTTATTAAAATTCCAAACCAGTTTCCCATTCATAAGATTACTTCTGTATTCTACCATTACCTTATAAAATTTACTTATATTCTTTGATAGTAGCTATTAAATTATACAAAATCACTAATTGCAAAAGTACTCTAAGATTCCAGTAATGTCAGAAAATACGCGTTCAAATGATATAGCTAGTACAGCTGATACTAGTCCTAATGTTGATGAATCTTTAAAACAATTGTTAAATTATTTAATACCTGATGATCTGAACATTTCTTCTTTAAATTTTTAACATTAACTTCTCATTCATCATTATATCGCAAGTCTAATAATTTAGAATTTGCCTGCATTATAAACTGTAATTTGATAATAAACAATCTTACAACTATTGATATAGCAGAAAAAATTTGGTCAAATTTAAATTTGCGATATATTAAAAAATTTGATAATCAAAATTACATAAAAAATGATATTACTATTTCAGATATAATGTGGGCCAGTATAATTTTGTCAGCTTATTGCAATTGAAATATGATAAAAAATTATTATTATAATATTGATAGATGGATGATAAAAATTAATAATTTCTGTAAGTTAAATTTATCAATTATAGAATTATTCTTGATTACAAAACTTTATAATAATTTACATCTTAATTTTATAGGTACTATTGGAAATAACAATTCTCAGACTGCTGATACTGCAAATTCAGGCTCTATAATAGGAGAATCAAACTGCCATAAAAGTACTGAATTGAATTCACCTCTACAAGTGCCATAAATAACTAATAAAAGTACCAAATTGAATTCACTTTCGCAAATGCTACTAGTAGCTAATAAAAATGCTGAATTGAATTCTCTTCTATAAGCATTACCTATAGCTAATGAAAGTGCTGAATTGAATGCATTATCATCAGTAGCTAATGAAAGTAATAAATTGAATTCATTTCCATAGTAGCTAATAAAAATACTGAATTGAATGTATCACTAATAGCTAATAAAAATACTAAATTGAATTTATCTTTATAAATACCAATGGTAGCAGTACTAGAAAAAATATCAGTAGAAGTACTGTCAACAAAGGCATCAGCAAGATCATCTACATTGAAATTAGCAGAAAAAGTACCCAGTGCAGAAGTGTTTGTAGTAATAGAAATACAAACTTCAAAAATAAAAATGCCAGTGGAATCATAAGTATTAGTTTCAGAAGTATCAGAAGAATCTAAAAAGTTAGCATTTATATCAAATTTAACTGTGTTGAAATTTCTTCAAAGAAGGATGTTGATAAAAGTGATCATGATGATAAAACTATTATAAAAGAAAAGTTGAATTCTGCCCAAATGTTTTTGTTTAAGAAAGAAAAGAAGCTATATGATATTATGTTAACATTAAATAATAAGCATCTCATTATCTCAGAACCATCAAAAACTTCTGTGATATTTAATGCCTTAGCTGAATTGTCAATGGCTGAAAAATTACAGTTGTCAACAAGAAGTCCATTATGGACAGAATTAATCAATGGAAAAAACAGGAGTTATATTGTAAAAGCCTTGTGATAGCGGCAGAATCTTTCAATTTGCTACATTTAGCATCATTAATTCAATTTATGATGATCTTTTAGATCTTGCTAAAAGATTAGAAATTAAAAATATAGAGATATATAAAAATGAATCTGATATTTTATTATAATACACTTGTTATAACTACTATAAATCACTAAAAATAATATAAAACAGTAAAAAACTGTAAATTGTTATTTTATTGCTTAAATACTTATAAATATGGATTTAAATAGTATTAATTAAATTATAATATAGTATCATAATATAGTTCAAATTATATATTACACTATAATATAATTATATTATTATATTATAGCACTTTTAAAATTATATTTTTTAAAAAAATTTTTATCTATTTAAAATATTTAAATGAATTTTTAAAAGTTTTTTAAGTAAAATTTTTATATTTTAATAATTGATTTTGCTTTTTATATTATAAAAACTATATTAGTATAAAATAGAGTTGTAATTAATAAAATTTTTTTATTTTAATAATATGAAAACTATATTAATATAAAATAAAATAATAAAATTGCAATTATATTATTACAAAGACAATTATATATTATTACAAAGACAATTATATATTATTACAAAGACAATTATATATTATTATAAATAAAAATAAATATACTAGTATAAAAAAAAGGAATATATATATATATTAAAAAAAAAAATATTAATAAACTTGTAAAAAATTTGCTGATTTTAATAATTATTATAAATTAAAATTGAAAAAAGTTCTAAAGTATAAAATATAAATAAATTCTTATAGATATAAAATTATCACTACTTGATATATTTTATTAAAATGAATATAACAGATAATAAGCTATTTTTTTAATTTTTTACAATCAATAGATAATGAACTGCCTTAATAATTTAGTATATTATTAAATTGTTTAACTAAACTTATTAGCATATTTGTTATTTAATATATTATTTTAAATGTAGCCGTAAAAATAATTTGCAGTAAAATCAGGGTTACAGTACGAATTCCCGAAGGCCGAAATCCCGAATGGACGTTTTCCCGAAAACTTGGGCGGAGTTATCGTAATGCTGGCCAAGTTTTCGGGAAAACGTCCATTCGGGATTTCGGCCTTCGGGATAATGTCCGACAAGGAAAATCAGCAATACTCTAAAAATATAATAGATATTTTATAAAAAATTACTTTACAGTATACAAATAAAAATAATACAGTCAATTCTGGATATAACGAACCTGTTTATGCCCGAACCAAACCTCGGCCGGTTCGTTGTATCCAGAGTTGACTAATAATAAAAAGAAAGAAAGCTATTAAAAAGTCTGGTTATGGAAGTTTGATTCAATCATCACCGCATATCGCTATCGTCCAGCCGGCACTACGGCATTAAGACATTAACTATGTGACAAATATTATATGATAAATAGGATGTCGCACATTTAAGTCCCCAGAATTACTGATTAAAATAAAAAATGTAGGGACGTGACAAATTCGCAAGTCACGTGAAGGAAAATTGTGATACTGATCATTTGTATATGCAAGCAATTAGACACATGCTATTTTTCATTGCATTGAACATCTCAAAAAATCTTTTTCGATCTAAAAATGCAAAATAACCTAGCCCAAAATGTTTTATATACAAAGAAGTCCTGTGTCGCATGAACTTATTCAAAAAAAGGAGTGAATAATTTAATTTATTAAATACTTAATATACATATTTCCCACTTATGCATAATTAGGTGTCATGCACAAAGAAACCTATCTGGCCGAATCTTTATTCACTTTATCGAATAATACATTGGAAGTTGATTGAGTATAATTTTATGTCAATTAGATATGCGTCTTCACTGCAAAATAATAAAGGAAAAAAAACCTGCTGAATTAACATTTTTCCGATGTTCCATATTATCGTATATGCGTATGTGATACTGCGGTTATTTGTGATACCTAGCAAACTTTAGTAGATTTTGCGCTTATCGAATCTAGATTGAAAACAAACAAAAAAAAAAAAATATTGGGGAAATAGTACAATATCTAAAGATTAACATATTCAGGTGAAGGCGACGTGGAATCAAATTAACTTTTGGTTGGGGATTTGGAAATTCTTCCCAGAAAGGACAATGATAGCATGATGCAGTGAAATCCGTGCTTTTATTTGCTTGATTAAATGCCATTTATTTTTTCTCCTCAAAAAAAAAAAATATTTATGTATATATATCACACTTTAGCTTTGATATCTTACGCCTGCGAATACTATTCTGCCACGCTTTCACATTATAAACTGTACTCCACAATGAATATCTATCCCATTCTTATTAAATTTCTTTCGTGCTTCTCTTTACGTAATTCAACATTATGCTATAAACAATAGAACTATTATCAGATTTAGCATATGTCAGACATTGCATTGTCTTTGTTTTCTGATTTTAATTGATTACCATTGTATATAATTTGATTTACGTAGCCATTTTTTTTTTTTCTTGTTGAACTTTCTAGTTCTGGTTAGAGTGGAAAATGTGGTGTTTGTGTGTGTCACTTATGACTCATCGTACAATGAGTGTCCCTGATCTGTATCACTTATTAATTTCACATGACTTTCATGATTTTATAATTTTTTCCCAGAATTATAATATTATCCTGTTGAGAAGTTTACTAATGTTGGTGAAACAAAAGCATTCAATTTCCCCATTTAATCCTAATCTGCCAATAATCTGCCAATTCCTAATCTTATAACGTCTTCAAAAATAAGGGGCATGTGAAGACATTCTTCGTGTCGACTTAGCTGAGTTATGGTGTAACAATTAACACGAAACCGTTGTTCAGGGAACTTCTAACCTGTTTTTTCTACCATTTTGGCCAATCAATTTAATTATAGCTTTAGGGAGTATCTAGATCATCACCGTAAAACAGGGTCCACTTTTATTATTTATACTATCTCACCGAGGATACTTGTATAAATCCTCAGCCAAAACTATTCCAATCAAATACAGGCTCATATATCGGATATTGACAAAGAAGAAATAATTAACCTTGCCATCTCGTTTTTACACACGTGTCATGGCTACGATATTGTTGTCAGATCGCCAAAAGGACGAGCTGTGAGTATACTTTAATATAGCTGCAGATTTAAAAGTTTCCTTACATCTGGTTTACGATTGCAAGGGAAAACAGAAATCCAGAGTAGATTTCAATACATGGAAACAAGCGCTTTGATATATCAGTCAACACGCCTTAAATTACATTTGTCTATAAATATATATGCCACATTTGGTGTTTATTTTTTGATGTTTCGAAGGCTTAAATCTTGGACAAGATATTTAATTAGAAACGTATTAACTTAAAAAGTTTTTGTGATATTTATTTGTTATAATAAACAGACACAAAGCCATCCTCGATTATCTACATTCTAACGGTTATACTACTGCGTTTGATTCTCTTAAAGCGGAATCAAAACAAGATGATTTTAATCCTGATCCTAAACAAAAATATGCCGGATTATTGGAAAAGAAATGGACTTCGGTCATCCGGTTACAAAAAAAGGTATTTCAAGTGTTGATAAGGATTTTTAAATATTAGCTGGTTATTGAAGTCTTGATATAATTCAAGATTTTTTTTTTTGGTCGTATAAAATTATAAAATTTCGAAATATGAAAAAAATCGCAAGATATTCATTAAGTTCACTCATAAAATGTTTGTTTTTATTCAAGATTTCATTTTATTTAAATTAATATTTTCAATCATTTAATTAGATTATGGACCTGGAAAATAAAATCACACAAATGCAAGAAGAGTTGAATAATGCGCCAATTCGAAAAACAAATAGTGCTGTTGACTGGGTGCCACGTGCACCAGAAAAATACTCGTTATCTGGTCATAGAAATCCCGTCACACGTGTTACGTTTCATCCGGTTTTTTCTGTAATTGCTTCCGCATCAGAAGATACTTCCATAAAAATTTGGGATTATGAGACTGGTGATTTTGAAAGAACTCTTAAGGGACACACTAAATCAGTTCAGGATATAGCTTTTGATCCAAAGGGTAATTTTTTAGGTAACTATTTTTAAATACTGTATTAATGATCTTTTGCTATATATATTTTGCGAGTTAACATACGAAGTTGCTTTTTTATTATAGTTTCTTGTTCTGCAGATTTGACTATAAAGGTGTGGGACTTGCAGAATGATTACAAATGCGTAAAAACACTTTATGGTCATGATCATAGTGTTTCATCCGTTGCGTTCTTACCATCTGGTGATATTATCATTTCTGCTTCCCGCGACAAAACGATTAAATTTTGGGAAATGGCATCTGGGTTCGTTTTTTTATTTATCCGAATTTATTTTAATCGATGATTAAAGTTTATTGACATCTTTTTATATATATATACAGATATTGTGTAAAAACATACACTGGTCATTCAGATTGGGTACGGATGGTATCCCCAAGTGAGGATGGCAAGTGGATTGTAACTAGTTCGAATGATCAGGTTATATTTATTACTATTATTATTATTAAATATTTTGTTTTATAATATCTGACATGTTCCATTATTTATTAAAAGACTTCTCGACTTTGGGAGGTATCATCTGGAGAATGTAAGATGGACTTTAGAGGTCATGATCATGTTGTAGAATGCGCAATTTTTGTTCCTGTTATTGCTTACCCTTTCATACGAGAGTTGATAGGCGTAGATAAAGATGTATGTTTATAGTTTTTAACAATTCTATTAATTTATTCACTCATTTTATTTAACTTATTATTTTCTAATATACACAATAGCCAAAAGCAACATCTAGAGATCAGCCAATTCCTGCACAATATATTGTGACTGGTTCAAGAGATAAGACAATTAAAATTTGGGACTCAACAGGTCAATGTGTAAGGACACTGGTATGTTATTTTCTATTTGAAAATTGAATTGAAGCAATTTTTATATTAAGTTTATAACTTACCTATTATGATAAATATAGGTGGGTCATGATAATTGGGTACGTGGTTTAGTATTCCATCCTACTGGCAAGTATCTTCTTAGTGGATCCGATGACAAAACCATCAAAATATGGGATATGAAAACTGGACGATGCACAAAAACTCTAGAAGCGCATGCGCATTTTGTAACGTGCATCGCTTTTAATACAGGTAGCCCCGTTGTTGCAACAGGGTCTGTGGATCAAACAGTAAAAATTTGGGCTCCTTATAGATGAAATAATTAAAAAATTTTTTTTTGTAGTTAACTGGTTATTAGGGAATATAATATATAATATTATATATATCATTAAACATAGAGCACATTATAAAGGGTTACATTATTATATACTCCTATCGATTTTAGTCTTTGTTCTGATTATTTTCCGTTACCTTGTATTACATAGCGTTTTCTTTTTCGTTTTTATTATCTACTTTTCCTTTGTATTTCTCATTTGGTCCAAAATTATTAATCATCCGATAGTACATGTTGATCTGGAATCTATTTAAGGTATTAATAAACATGCAATACCATGGAATTGTCAATTAGTAATTTAGTCTCTTAGTACCCTCATCAAGTGATCGTGGAATAATTATGTAACCTGTTTCAAACAGGTTTCATGCGTACAAATCAATATCATTAATAAATTATTAATAATTTAAAATATTTGAAATGAAAATTAGTATAAGGTTAGTATAAGTGTGCTGCTTCGACTAATTCTTATTTGTTAGTAATATGTTATCAGTTATTATTCAGCAGTTATCAAAACCATATAACCAAATAAAAACATATATACGCCATGGCTTTTTGATAAATTTTTTTTTTTTCTTTTTTTTTTTAGACTATAAAAAGTCGGAAATAAATTAACGAACCTTCACGAACTAATTTCTTAAAAAAATGTATCAACAAATTGATCATATTGCTATTAATACTATTCGTACGCTTGCCGCGGATGTTGTAAGAAAAGCTAATTCTGGACACCCTGGTATGGTCGAATTTTATTGACTTATCTCTGGAGGAATGAGTGGCTGTACATTGCTGGTATTTATTTGAATAATAATTTGAAAATAAATTATCCTCTTTAGGTGCTCCCATGGGATGCGCTCCTATGGCCCATGTTCTTTTCTCCAATTTTATCACAGCCAACCCAGAAAATCCGAAATGGGTATGTTAGTTTGCAATTGCTCTCGCAGAGATGCGATGATCATCAAAATTTTGCGATTATCCGACCAATTTTTTTTTTTTGTGATCTACTTAACCGTGATATACATGTGATAATTAAAATTCATTTTCGATTTTTGCTTTACATTTCTTTTATTTAGCCCAACCGTGATCGTTTTGTCTTATCCAATGGTCATGGATGCGCGTTGCAGTATATCTTGCTTCATTTACTGGGATGTAATCTAACAATAGATGATTTAAAACTGTTCCGTCAAACCGATAGCAAGTAAGACCTAAATGCGAGCATGACTCATGTATAAAAACTTTACATTAAATATCGCATTCTTCTTAGGACTCCTGGTCATCCAGAATGTCACTTAACTGAAGGCATTGAAGTAACTACCGGTCCACTTGGGCAGGGTAAATGATCACTACGCGTCATAATTTGTTAAACGTCTTTGATTCTTTTTTTTCGACCAATAATCGAATTGTGGTATATCTTTATTAGGTTTTAGTAATTCCGTAGGTTTGGCCATTGCCCAAGCTCATTTCGCTGCTGTTTTTAACCAACCAGGGTTTGATTTATTCACGAATCACGTTTACGTGATTGTTGGCGATGGCTGTCTTCAAGAAGGTGTTGCTTCTGAAGCGGCTTCCCTTGCAGGGTAAGCGTTTGATAGAATTTAAAGTCGACTTAAACGATTTAATCTAATGAGTGCGGATCAATCTTATAGACATTTGCAACTCGGCAATCTAATCGCTCTCTATGATGATAATCACGTGTCTATCGATGGTATGTTAAATTTCGTATATTTCAAATTGAAATTTTTGGATTCTCCTCAAATAGAGAAGAAGATTACAATTAATCAATCCACTTAATTGTATACAATCCAATTTTACATTATAGGTGACACAGAAGTTAGTTTTACTGAAGACGTTTGTAAACGTTTCGAAGCTTATGGATGGCACACTCAAGTGATCGCGGATGGCGATAATGATCTTGAAGGCATTACTAAGGCTATTGAAAATGCCAAGAAAGTGACAAATAAGCCTTCATTAATTAAGATTAGAACTATCATTGGCATTGGTTCAAAAAATGAAGGTACTGAAAAAGTTCACGGAGCTCCGTTAGCACCCGATGATATTGTCGAAGTCAAAAAGAAATTCGGATTTGATCCGGAAAAATTCTTCCACGTACCTAATGAGGTTTATGAACTTTATGGTCAATACCGTGAAAAAGGCAAAGCCGCCGAAGCTCAATGGAATAAACTATTGGAGAACTACACTGCTAAATTCCCAGAGAAGGTAATGTGTTTATAGATTTAAAGTATCAAGATTTTAAGGTCAACTTTTTATATTAAAGCGTTATTATCTAATTAACAGGGTAATGAAATCAAACGTAGATTCAGTAATAAATTGCCAGAGGGTTGGGAAAAACATCTGCCACGTTATACGCCATCTGATCCCGCAGTTGCTACAAGAAAATTATCTGAAAATGTGTTAAATAAGATCGCTGATGCTATACCAGAGCTTATTGGTGGTTCAGCGGATTTAACAGGCTCTAATTTAACACGTTGGAAAACGGCGGTTGATTTTCAGCCCCAATCAACGGGTTTGGGTAATTATTCAGGACGCTACATTAGATATGGTGTTCGTGAACATGGCATGTTTGGTGTAATGAATGGTCTTACTGCTTATGGAGGTTTAATCCCTTTCGGTGGTACTTTCTTGAACTTTATTAGCTATGGATTGGGATCTGTTCGATTAGCGGCTCTTTCTTCTTTTCGTGTACTTTATATAATGACTCATGATTCAATCGGTTTGGGTACGAAAATAATTACTTTATTAGCAATTAATTTTTTGTTACTTATTAAAAAATGAAATTACTTTTTTAAATATACAGGTGAGGACGGACCTACTCATCAACCCATTGAAACAGTCGCTGGTCTACGTGCATTACCAAATATTTTGGTTTTCCGTCCAGCAGATGGCAATGAAGTGTCTGGGGCTTACCTTGCAGCAATTAGCAATCTCAATAGACCATCAGTATTTTGTCTTTCTCGACAAAATTTACCCCATTTAGAAGGATCATCTGTTGAGAATACCCTTAAAGGAGGTTATGTATTGAAAGAATGTACGGATGCAAAAATCACTTTAACCGGTACTGGATCCGAAATATCAATCGTAGTTGAAGCATCCAAAAAATTAGAATCTGAGGGAGTTAAAACACGTGTAGTATCTTTACCGTGCTTTGAACTTTTTGAAGAACAAAGCATTGATTATAAGTCGTCAGTTTTTCCCGATGGTATTCCAATTTTAAGTGTTGAAGCGCTAGCAACTTTTGGTTGGTCAAAATTTGCTCACGCAAATATTGGCATGACAATTTTTGGTTCTTCTGGACCTTATCAACAACTTTACAAGAAATATGGTTTTACGGCTGAAAATATTTCTGAAAAAGCAAAGAAAACTATAGAATTTTATCAAACGACTCCTGTTCCATCGGTTATTCACAAACCTTTTTAAAAAACACGTATACATATAAATATTACTGTTTAAGTTAAGAAACCAATTTTTGTTGTAATTTATGTAAAAACTGTAAGCTTTATTTAATAAATTTATAAATTTGTTCCGCATGATGCTTTTTAGCAACAAAAAAAAAATCATTATTATATATATCATGATTTTAAGAGTAATATTCGTATAAAGTAAATATATATTTTCACATTTAGAAATTAATTAAATTAAAATATCAGAAAAAATTCATCAAAGATTACACGAGTCTAACCGATTATAGTTTTTTTTTTTGATTATCTAAATATTAAACTTGTCATCACACTTCGTATAGTTTTTATTCAAATGGGTAAATTGTAAATTTTTTTTTAAAAAAATATAAAAAGTTTATATGGATGTTTAATAAAAATTTTTATTATTTCGATAGTTTTAGGAAAGAAAAAGTCTCTTACGGCACAACTAGCCGAATTATCAAACCCTACACCAATAGGTCAATATTTTATTGTACAGATTTATGATCAAATTATTAAATAAAACCATAAAATTAAATAAATATCTTTGTTTTATTAAATTAATAATGTTAAAGATATTGATCCGGAAGAATTTGGGGAAACCTATCATACATATGGGTTTGATCAGAGCGATGAAGAAAATGAGGAAGTAGAAAGGGATGTAGGAAGAGAACATTATGTTGCAGTTGGGTATGGTTTGATCCATTCATGGTTTTCATTAATCGATCAATTTTATTTATGTTCTCATATAGAATTTATGAAATTGGATTATTCTTTTTAGAAAGAGTTCTCTTCGTCGTAACTTATTCATTTTAGATGATCCAAAGTATGTTGGAAAACGTAGTAGTAGGAAGGATATATTTGAAAATTATTCCAATGATGAGGATGATGAGGATGCTGAGCAAAGTTCTGAGGTTGAAGATGAGAGCGATAAAATAGACAATAAAATTGGTGATAAACATAATAATGGAATTGAGTTACATGAGAATGAAAATATAGGAAACAATGATAAAATATCTCCTTCTGATGAGGGAAGCGAGGAAAGTGAAGATCAAGAATCCAACTTTGAAAATAAAGATGGTGACGAAAACAGTTTATCTGTTCAAGAAGAATTAAGGAAAATTGAAGAGGAAGAACGGTAATTTTTTACATACTTCATGACTATGATGATCCCCTTTATGACAATAAATTTCTTTAATTGCTCTTTCTACTATACACGGTGTGTGTTAATCTTATTTATTATAGAAATTTATTACATAAAATGAAACAAAATGCCCAAGAAGATGTAACTAAAGGACAGCATGTTAAGACACAACTTGTAAGTACCAATAAAATCATTATCCCTAAATTGATATTTATACCTTCATTGTCTAATTTCCACCAGGGACTTTGGGATACATTTCTAGACACTCGAATTCGTCTTCAAAAGGCTGTGTCTATTGCTAATTCTTTCCCTCAAGTAACATTTCTTTATGATTTCATACATGAATTTATGTGTGTAGGCATAATTATTAAAAGCAGATAGTTGCTTTTGTAGAGTGATGTTTATTCGGAATTTCTTACACCAGAATCGGAGTTAGCTATTCAAGAAACACGAACAGAATTAAGGGAACTTGTAGATTCTCTTATAGATTTAAGAAAAGTATGTAGTATGTTTACACTTTTTGATTTATTCGCATCATCCAAAATTAATCTCATATTTACAATTAGGATTTGTGTCATGAGAATAACAACATTAAAGAAATTTCAGAAAACGTTATGAATAGTCGTAAACATCATCTTGATGATCATAATTATACTGAATACTTGTGGAAAGACATGAAAGAATTATATGATCATTTTTTACCTTATCGTACACAAACTATTGATAAATGGAGCAATAAAGTACAAATTGCTTCGGGGATATCGCTTAATAAAAGATTCAAAGCTATTAATCAAGGTGTAAATACGCAAATTGAACAAATTTTACATGATAAAGAAAGATTGACTAAAAGGACTCAATTAAAAAGGAATTCTGATAAAATATTGGGAAAGGTTTGTTCGCACTTCTATTAAAATACCGATGTAGTTTCTTTGTTTAATTATTTTTATCTCATTTTCTTTCTTTTATAGAAAGAACACGACATAGAGGATCCTGATAAAGATGTAAAAAAACATGATAAACACCTTTCAAATTACGATGTTGAAATATTTGATGATACTGATTTTTATCAACAACTTTTGAGAGAACTTATAGAAAGTCGCATGATTGATACAGGTGCTTTTGAATATTTTCCATCTTTAATATAGGTACTTTTTATTTATTATGAGCTATAATAATAAAAGATTAATATTGAATTACAGATGATCCAATTTCACTTGGAATGCAATGGGCAGCAATTAGACAAACAAAACAAAAGAAAAAACAGGTTGATACCAAAGCAAGTAAGGGGAGAAGATTAAGGTGATTTTTTTTTAAAAAGATTCGTTTATTTCCTTATAGACGGATATTTTCTTTTCATTAAACAATCTTAACAATCTTTTTTTTTGGAAAAAATTGTTGTCTAGATATCACGTTCACGAAAAATTACAAAATTTCATGGTACCAATTCCAGATGGTAACTGGCATGAAGATATGATTGATGAATTATACTCCTCTTTATTAGGTAAAAAATATGATAATAATTTAGAATCAAGTGAAAATGAAAATGAAAATGAAACTATTTCAAAGACAAAAGAACAAAAAGAATGTACAATTGAACCTGATTTAAATAGGTTAAGAATTTTTGGGTAGTATAGTTACTTAATTCCTTAATAAAGTCGAAGTATTTATTATTGTAACAGATGTTTAGGTGTACAGTAATTTATTTAAAAGTTGCGTCATATAATCGCGTGAATATTGCAAATTTTTGATTGGTCGGATTGGCCGGATATCAAAGCGATTATCAACAATTACTAAAAACAATAAACACCCAAGTCCTAAAGTTCTCTGTTTTTTTTTGGCAAAATATACAGTATAAATGGCATTATGGCAGAACGACAAATAAATTGCCAAGCAGAATTTTTTTCAACTTCTCCTAGGAATAATTTTATTTCCAATAAGCAGCCATGGGAATATGATCCCTTATATCATACGGAAGTAAAATTATTTATTAAAGATATACATAAATTAAAACACGTTCAATATAAAAAAAGTGGTATGTTATAAAAGTTTTTGTCTTCTTTGTGGTTTTTTCTAATGAATAATATGTATACATTTTGTTTTATGGACATAGGAGTGGAAAAAGAAGTTTCAGTATTTTTTTATGGTCAATCGAATAGACCAGTACAATGTGTTGATATCATCGGAATAGTTAGAGCTATTGATATATTTAGAAAAGTGATCAAATATTATAGTAAGTATTTTTGCTCTATTTTGTTGAATATTTTGCCTTTTCATATTCGTTAATATAATTCTCACGTAATAACTTATACAATAATATAGTTGATGATGGATCATCCACCATTTCGTGTGTAGAATTTATACCAGATGATTTGATAAATAGTTCAAGTAAATTGGCGCTTTCTCAATTGAACAAATTTAACATATCAGAATTAGTAAGAGTCGGCGGAATGTTAAATGAATATAAAAATCGAAAAGAAATTAAAATTCGTCACATGAGTGAGCATATTTTATGATGTGCAAATGATTTCAACTTTACATATTACAGTAATTTTTTATTCCCTTTCTCAATTTATAATAGATAAAATAGAAGATCCAAATGAAGAATTACTTAGGTGGACAGAGATAATCTGTCTAAAAAAAGATGTATACTGTAAAGAATTCAAATTTACATCAAATCATTTTGACGAAAAAAAACTTTTACGTGATAAATCTTCTGCGGGTTCATATTATCCAAATAAGAAGATGGCTTTATCAAGAAAGCCAACAAGCGGTGGTGGTGATAGTTCCACCGTTTCTTATCTAACACAATCTAATCAATCCGATGCGATACGATGTAATTCATTACAAATTATTGACGAAGAAATGCTAAAAAGTCGCATTAAAGAATATATTGACAATAATTTAAATGAATTTAGATTTAGTAGCATTGTCGAAGTTACTGGGTTACAAGATATTGCAATTAAAGTATTGCAATCACAAGGAAGAATAATTGATTTCAAGAAACAAGATAAGACAATACAAAGAAATAATTACCATAAACAATATAAAGAAGAAATCAGATTTTTATTTAAGAAAATATTAAAAAGTTTAATACAAGATGAATATTTACAAGCTGATCAAAATCTAGTTTCATTCAAGGTAGTAAAAACAAAGGAAGAAAAATAGGTATATCCTACTCTCAAAAATTTTTCCATATATTATTATCAACCACCTGTATGAATTTTGATGGAATTTTAAATTTATCAATAAATTGTTTATGATTCCAATAAATTTGAACCATATTAGGACAATTTTGAGCCAGTTCATTAAAATCATTATAATTCAATTGTTCTAAATTATTCTTATCATCATCATCATCATCATCAGTAACAAATAAATATTCTAAATTAGATAATAATATGATATTATCTAATATAATTCTTTTTGTTAACCTATTCCCTCTTTTTAGTAAATTTTGTAATTTAAATATTTTAAAATCAAAATTTTCACAAATAAGGTTTAAATTATCTGAAGAAATATTTATTCTATTCAATATTAATTCTTCAATTCTATTAGGATTAATAATGTCACTATTATCAACATCCATATTTAAATAGAAAGTATTTAATATTTGACCAATGTTTTTACAATTATCCAATAATATTTCTAACGAATCATTAGTAAATACTAAATCAACTCCAGGATAATCGGTTTCAGGTTCTTCAGGTTGTTGAGTAATTGAAATTTTTCGTTGTGTTTTACAAAGGTTTGATAATGAAAATAAAAATTTTTCTGAGAAAGGACCATAATCTATTGTTAATTTTTTTAATCTACAATAATTATTATTATTATCATCATCATTATCAATACTATCAGATTTGAAAAAACAATTTTTGATTAATTGAAAAACAGTTTTTTCGGATAAATTTTTATTCTCAGTAATATTTAAATATTCTAAATTATTAGAAATTTGAGTGATTATAAGTAATGATTCATCTAAACCTTGAAAAAGTAAATCTAAAGATTTTAAATTTTTATTTTGTTGTATTAATAAAATTATTAATTGTTGTGGACATGAAGGTTGTATATCAATAGTTAAATGTGTTAATTTTGTTAATTTTGATAAATAAATAGAATCATCATTATTTTGAATCGTTGTAATTTCACTACTAATAGTATTACTATTAATACTACCACTACTACTACTACGTGTATGTAAAACTTTTTTTGCTATTATATTTTTTAATTTATTTTTTTGAGTTGGTATAGTATTAATAGTTGTTGTTGTAGTTGATGTGATTGTTTTTATAATATTTGCCATATTAAAATTTTCATCATTACATAAACCTGATATCAAATAATTAAGTAAATTATTATTAATAATAGTACATCTTTTAAATTTTAATATATTTAAATTTTCCAATAATGTAATAGATATAATAATACTTTGACTTAAAGTACAATTTCCAATTATAACTTCTTTTAATTTTCTACATTCACTAATACATTTACTTAATTTCTCACCTGAAAGGTACGCTAAATTTGGACTATCCATTGTTATACTATGAATATTATTAACAAGATATTCATTTGTATGAATAGTATTATATAAATTATAATGTGTTGTACGATCTAAAGTATGAAGGAATGAATCAACATTTTTAACATTTTTTAAATTAACTTTAGAATAAAGAATTTTGGTAGATACTGTATTAAAATAATGTGATACTAATGAACTTGATAAAAGTGATTTTTTATCAACATATGAAAGTATAATTGGTAATATATCTATATTTGTTATAACTAAATATTTTGCGTGACTATAAGTTGACATTTTTTTTCTTTCTTATTTTTTCTTTGAAAAAAAAAAAGAAAAATGTTAAAGAGAGTGAGACTGTGAGAGAGGGTTTGTGTGTGAATGAAAGAGACGCGTTTTTGATTTGATTAATTTAACCTGATCTATCCAATTAAGGATAATTCCCGGACGTTGTTCAGCCTAAGTGCCTAACTGGCCAGTTAGTTCTATTAGTGCATGATTGTAACATAATAGGCTTTTTTGCATAGATTATATACATACGAAATCGGAATCGGAGATTTCAAATTGAAATAGCAAAATAAGGACTTTTTTTCTTTATTTTAAAATAATTACACTATTATGGTTTTCAATAAAATAAATTAAAGTGCTAAATAAAAAATGATTATTATGATAAGAATTTTTTCATCTATAAAAAAGGTAATATGTAAATATGGATATGTAAAAAAAAAATATATATATATATATAATATAAAAGTACATATAATGAAATAATTCTATTCTGTACAATAAAAAAAAAGACAAATAATAAAGAGGGGAGAAGGTAATATACAACTCTATCTGTACAAAAGTAGTCTAGAAAAGGGGCTGTTGCGAATTATTTTTTATGTGAAAAAGGTATATAAATTATAAATGTAAAATGCTGGTTGTTTTTTTTAAATTAATGCCGAAATTTTTTGGTAATTATCTATCATATGTGGATATATAACATAGTGCAATTAATTGAATTCGAGATTTACATGGGAATCGAAAATGGAGTTATAAAGGACTTGGCAACATACGAAATAACAGTTAAAAATATCTTCTGTGAATATAAGCTAAATAGGAATCGGGAACTATTCTATGAAATCATTCTTAGAATATCCTTCCTTCCTTCTGATCTTACCATATACTACCTTATTATCAGGAAAGTGAATGATAGGTAGTACAGTCTATTAAATCATGATTTCATGATTTCAAAATGATAATTCAAACATCACAGTTTGATTGTCACTATTGAACATTACAACATAGTACGCTAGAGTTAGCTTCTTGGTTGTGATGACTACTATTATAATCCGAATTATTATCGACAGAATTATTATTAGTATTAGCTTTTCGCATATTTTTTGAAAATAACGACCAAATAGATCTTCGTTTTGAACGACCTCCGTATCGAAAAGGAACATCTGATGCTTCTGCTGTACTCAGAATGTCATCTCGGTTCGATGATTTACCGCAATCATCTGAATGTGCTTCAGATCCTGGACCATCTGGTAAATTCAAAGGTCGCAAGTATGGTATAGTTCTTGCGGCGGGAACAGCGATAGGAGAATTTTGTCGATTATCTAAGTTGACTATTTATGTATAAAATCGAGAGTTTTAGAAAAATATTCGATAAAATTAACTAACTAAATAAATAAATAAATAATACTCAGAATTATTACCAGAAGAACTGTTGTGTCTTAATGAACAATTATCACCTTCCGTTTCCTTCTTATCACTCCACGTTTTTCGATTTACTTCAAGATAATTAAGAGTAAACCCGATTTCTATTTATACAAATAATAATTAAATTAAAAAAGAAAAAATATTTAAAAAAAATCCTTATAGATCAAAGGATAAATACCTGGAATGAGCTCACTAACACTTTTAAAAAGTGGCATGGCACAAAAATCTATGAACCCTATCTGAGAATCAGGTTGTGATACACGACCATCATTTACTGGACCTACAGGTAATCCCAATTTTCTCTCCAAGTCTCCTTGACATGTGAATTCTTGCAATAAAACATTGGACCATGATTTAGCAATATGATACGGTCTCGCCGTATTACTAATATCAGCACATTTTATCAATGCTCCAATGATTATATTTTTCTCTTCCTCCAATTTTTGAGATGGGTTAAAATCTACTGATTCGAATCTTGATTTTTGTTCCTTAATATCTTTAACGTATTTATGATGTAATTGCATGTCTGTTGCTAGAATTGCATTCACAACTATCTTTCGAAATTCTAATAATAGAAATAAAATAAATAAATTAATTATAATAAATTGATTAATTAATAACGTTCAAAAAAATTTTAAATAAATTTACCTGAATATTTTGTTTCACATGGAGGTTCACTTTCATAAATTTTAAATCCATATTTTTGCATTAGATTAAATAAAGTCATGACATGAAAACTTTCTAATACAGATTTATCATTGTATAACTGAGCCAATGGAGTTTGTGATTGTATCAAGAAATCATTATTAACTCCTGGATGACCAACATCATGACCTATGGAAGCCAACAATAATGCAAATACATCGGAATCTCTTAACAAATCATTAGGACGACAACGTTGCTTATTGCTACTTTTACCCCGTCGGTTGTACCCAGCGGAAAATAGAGATGGCAATAATCTCATCTCACATAAGAAGAAAAATATCGCTTGAAGAACATCTACGGCGTGAGTAAAGTTGTGATATGGATTGCTATCATGATATGCTTGTCGAATAGCTAAGAGAAACCTATGTAATGCATCTATCCAAATAATAAATGGTTTAAACTTAAAACTTCCTTTTTTTTTTTTCTCTAAAAAAAAAAAAAATCGAATTTATAAATTCATACCAGTTGATATACTGAGTTCTCTTAATTCATCAAGTTCCATAGCATGTTCAAAAATAATAACAACACATCTCATTAAATCATCTTCCGATAACTTGTGTGAATCAAATTCCCAGTCGGTTAATTTTTTTTTAAGAATATTTGTTCTCTCTATTTCTGATGCAGAATTCAATCTAATATAATATTATTAAAAAATTTTTTTTTAATTTATGTCATAAAATTATAATATTAAAAAAAAAAAATGATAATAATCCGTAAATCTAAACTTGGAATATTATCTAATTTAAGGTTAACGCACCTTGGAAAATTAGGGATATCTAATGGGGATAAAGAAGGTGTGTAATATTGAATAATGGTATTAGTTAGCCTAAATACCAAGGAGTGAATGAATGGTTAATATTTTCATCTATATTATGTAATGGAATAATTTTAATTGTTCTATCAACGCACCATTTATCTTTTGTAAAGATTTCATCCAGTCTGTCTTCTAAATTTGAAAACCTCCGTATTATAGAGCGAGGATATTCAGTAGAACGTGAAGGTGATGTATATGTTCTATGTACATGCTATAAGGTGAAAGAAAATAGTTAATAAAGATTATTGATTATAAAATAATTTTTGAATAATTAAGGTAGTAATAATACCAAAAATATAGTTTTTGCAACTTCTGGTCTAATTGGTTTTAATAAATAATCCGCAGCTCCTTTATTTAAACATTCCAACATAAAATCCGAATTCTCATTAAATGAACAAACTGTATATATAAAAGGATATTTAGAACAACTAAAATATAATTTAATATAAAAAATATAAAAAAAAAATTAAAGATTTACTTACCGATTGGAATCACTCGTTCTAATGTTCCTTTTGAAATCTCCAAATTGACATATCTTAATAATTCTAAACCATATAAAGTATCTTTTTTGGTATGAATTTCTGAGAGAGAAACTCCTCCTTCCATAACTAAAAAGGATTCCCTTCTTGCATATAAATCTCGACTAACACTCTCAGTATGATCAATATCTATTAATACAATAATAGGTGGACTTCCAACATCTCTATTTTTTAATATGTTTATAGCTTTTGTTCCAGACGGTACTGTGATGACTATATTAAATTTTTTTTAAAAAAAAAAAAAAAT